TCCAGGCTTTGGAACTGTGAGAAAATCAATGTCTCTTGTTTAAGCCCCCAGAGCGGTGTCCTGGTATGACAGCCCAAGGTGATTAACACAGGCCCTAAAAACCTGTACTGAAATTACAACTCTGAATAAATATCACATAGTAAATACACCTATTTGCATATAAATGCTTGTTTTACCCAACTGAAAAAAGTATGCCAATATTTATTTTTTTAAAGATTTATTTATTTATTTATTTATTTATTTGAGAGAGCGAGCGAATGGAGAGAGGGGCAGAAGGAGAGAATCTCCAGCAGATTCTGCACTGAGCACGGAGCCCGATAACGGGGCTTGATCCCATGACCCATGAGATCGTGACCTGAGCCAAAACCAAGAGTCAGACACTCAACTGACTGAGCCAAAAGTATGGCAATATTTAAATAGGAACACACACACAAAGGTAAATTTTACAAAAGAAATCAGAAGTCCTTGAATAAATACTAAAACACAGAGTAATTCTACGTTACTCTTCACATAAAGACAAAAATCTGGGACTATACTCATTCTGTAATGCAAATTTATTATACCTCAACAACTAACTTGTGATTTGCGCAGTGACAAAATATAATAAAATGTCCAGGTCTAATTTTGTCTTGCTTAACATATTTAAAATTAAGGAATTAGTCCATCACACATTATAACAGAATTGAAAGAGGCTAACTTGTTGAAAAATAGCATACTGAAGTTTCTGGAAATTGGATCACTACTGTGAAGCAGAATCTATACCTCAATCATTTGGACCCTCTTGCTGAGTCTTGCTCAGGACCTCTCTACTATTAACCAAAAATGATGAGACGTCACTTCCAAAATTAGGTTACAAGAAGACTGTGACTTCTGTCTTGCCCAACCGTCCTCTACGTTACAGCACCTCTTCCATGTTGTCTCCCCACTCCCTCTCTGCTCTGCAGATCTAGGGGAACAAGCTGTGTGTCTTGAGGAGCTCTATGGAGAGGCCCAAGTGGCAAGAAATAGACTCTCCAGACAACAGCGAGTGAGGACCTGAGGCCTGTCAACAGCCCTGTGAAGGAGCTTCTAACAGATCTTCCCGGAGAGCCCTGAAATGACTACAGCCCCAGCAGACACCCTGATTGCATCCTGTGACAGTCCCTAAGCAAGCAGCCCCCAGCTAAACCACACCAGGACTCCTGGCCCACATCAACAGTGAGACAGGAACTGTTTGTTTTAAGCCACTAGGGTTTGAGATAATTTGTTACACACTGATAGATGATGAATACAATCCTGTTTCATTTCTCCTATTGAATTATAAACTCCTAGAAAACATTAGAGTTAGTTCTTCCACCTTAGTGAAACATTTTATATATTAGAAATCTGATAAAGATTTGTTAATATTTAAAGGTAGAATATTGTACTATTTTAACATAAAATCAGCAGACTCTTTAATATTTAAAGGTAGAATATTGTACTATTTTAACATAAAATCAGCAGACTCTGAGGATCTGAGGCACTCTAGTAAACTTCTCCCAAGGCCAGCTCTCTGTTCAACTCATAAAAAACACACATGTCTCAAGATATAATTGATTATTTAATGATAATAAAATGTCTCAGATTCTACAATACACATGAAAAGTAGCAAAAAAAAAAAATTCCCCACATTTATTTCCTTTTCACCTTATCTAATCTCAAACTGTAATTTTAAAGTGGCTGTAAGAGCTAACACACAAGAGTAGTTGAAAATTTATACAGTTTAAGGTCTACACTCAAGTTTATCGAGAATTCCCCTCCACACACAAGAAAATCCCCAAACTGATTCATCTATAGACTGTTTTAAGCATCAGAGTAAAATACACATTTTGTTAAAGTCAGAGCTCAGCTATCTAGAATCTTTAGAGAGGAATAATTTTGGAGAGACATAATTTTCTGGAACCCTAAGGATTTACCCCCAAAACCCCCAAATTTTATTTAATAATTTTAGATCACTGTTTTCTAATATATATAAAATTAGAAAACAGCTCAACAAACAAAATCAGAGATCTTTATGACAGAACTTTTCTGAAACATACATAAATGTGAACTGTACCTCCCCAAGGGAAGGATATAAAATGCAACATTCTCTAAATACTTTTGGAGATAAGACAGTTTTTTTTTTCTTCTTTTTTTAATTTAATTTCTTTTTTTTTATTCTTATGTTAATCCCCATACATTACATCATTAGTTTTAGATGTAGTGTTCCATGATTCATTGTTTGTGCATAACACCCAGTGCTCCATGCAGAATGTGCCCTCCTCAATACCCATCACCAGGCTAACCCATCCTCCCACCCCCCTCCCCTCTAGAACCTTCAGTTTCTTTTTCAGAGTCCATCGTCTCTCATGGTTCATCTACCCCTCCGATTTCCCCTGCTTCATTCTTCCCCTCCTGCTACCTTCTTCTTCTTCTTTTTTTTTTTTAACATATATTGCATTATTTGTTTCAGAGGTACAGATCTGAGATTCAACAGTCTTGCACAATTCACAGCGCTTACCAGAGCACATACCCTCCCCAGTGTCTTATCACCCAGTCACCCCATCCCTCCCACCCCACCCCCCAACTCCAGCAACCCTCAGTTTGTTTCCTGCGATTAAGAATTCCTCATATCAGTAAGGTCATATGATACATGGATAAGACAGTTTTTTAAAAAGCCATTTTATGGTTTCTGTTGTAGAATATACTTTTATTTATTTTTTTTATTTTTAATTTTTTGCTTTCCCTTGAGATAGTTCATTTTAAGTTTTTATTTTAAGGGTGCCTGGGTGGTTCAGTTGGTTAAGCATCTGCCTTTGGCTCAGGTCATGATCCCAGGGTCCTGGGATGGAGCCCTCATCGGGCTCTCTGCTCAGCAGGGAGTCTGCTTCTCCCTCTGCCTGCTGCTCCCCTTGCTTGTGCACTCCCTCCCTCTAATAAATAAATAAAATCTTTAAAAAAAAGTTTTTATTTTAATTTCAGTTAGTTAACATACAGTGTAATATGAGTTTCAGGTGTACAATATAGTGTTTCAACACTTCCATACATCACCCGGTGCTCATCACGATGCACTTCTGAATCCCCATCACCTATTTCACTCATCCCCCACCCACCTCCCCTCTGGTAACCATCAGTGTGTTCTCTATAGTTAGTAGTCTGTTTTTTGGTTTGCCTCTCTTTCCTTTGCTCATTTGTTTTGTTTCTTAAATTCCACATATGAGTGAGATGATATGGTATCTTTCTCTGACTTATTTCACTTGGCATTATACTCTCTAGCTCCATGCACATCTTGCAAATGGCAAAATTTCATTCTTTTTATGGCTGAGTAATATTCCATTGTATATATAGACCACATCTTTATCCATTCATCTATCAATGGACACTTGGGCTGCTTCCATAATTTGGCAATTGTTGATAATGCTGTTATAAACACTGGGGTGTATGTATCCTTTTGAATTAGTGTTTTTGTATTCTTTGGGCAAATACCCAGTAGTGCAACTGCTGGATCATGGGGTAGTTCTATTTTTAACTTTTTGAGGAACCTCCATATTCCAGAGTGGCTGCACCAGTCTGCATTCCCACCAACAGAGCATGAATGTTCCTCTTTCTCCACATCCTCACCAACACCTGTTGTTTCTTGTGGTATTGATTTTAGCCATTCTGACAGGTGTGAGGTGGTATTTCATTGTGGTTTTCATTTGTATTTCCCTGATGATGAGTGATGTTAAGCATTACTGGTCCTTGGGCCAATCAAGTGAAGCTCTCTCCTGGGCAGCTATACCTACAGGTCTAGAGTCAAACAGATACGGTGGAAGAAAGCTTTTTGTGAGCCATCAGCAATCAAATAAATGGTGGCTAAAGCTATGGATCTGGATAAAGGCCACAAGGAAAAACATGAAAATGAAATGAAGGAAAGAGCAAAGTCAGACAATAGAAACAACATATGAAACAGGAGAGAATGAAGCAGAAGGAGGCAGCTAGAAAGGGGACTGACCAGGAATCACCAGAGAGGGAGCGGGAAATGGAGATAAGCCCTAAAGAAATCTAGGGAAAGAATTCCAATAAGGGAAGTATCAAGAATTTTGTATCAGATCCCAATGAATTTATTAAAATTAACAAAATTAAAAATGCATTTCCCTTGATGCACTATCACATGTGGGTAGGAGCTACCATGTTGGTCAGAGCAGATACAGACACTACTGTTGCTCTGACAAGTTCTCCTAGACAGTACTGCGTAGACTCTGCGATCAGATCAACAACAAGGCATTTGCTCAGTAAGTGCCTGGAGATCAATGTATGGAGATCGTATACTAATTCATAGTCAGTCTTCAAGGGCAACTTTGAGAACACAGCATAGCCACTGTTTTCTGTTTATATCCCAAATTGGTGAAACTGAATAGCTTATAAGTGTATTAGTTATCCAACTCTCTAAAATACGGACATTAAGAACATTCCTGTTGTTGGGGACACTCATAACTTCCAAGTACTGTGAACCAACTGTGTGTTACATTCCCCGATACTTCAGATACTTCTAATGTAATTCTTCCACAGAGGCAGGCATAGGTATACCTATGAGGTACAAATGTCTTAAGAGATGAGGAGACAAGCTCAGTCTGTGAGGCACCTTGCACCCACACAGCTGACAGACATCAGAGTTTGGATTCCAGTCTAGGTCTGTCAACCCACAGAACAGAGACTCTTTCTGTCACACACAACCCATAATGGAGAAAAAGTCTCCACAATCTGGTACCTAGCCAGATTTTCACTAAATCCATGGCACTGGAATATGTATTTTAGCAAGCACTTGAATTTAACCTCTCAGATATATATAATAACATGCATATGAATTAATGAAGAAACTTCATTTCCTAAGAGATAATACATACATTCCCTGAAGAAATTTCCACTACTGTAAAACATAAATATCCTCTCCAGGAACAAAAACTGAAAAGGTATTTATTTGTAAAAATTATTTTTTCAAGTACAGTCAAATTTTTACTTACCTTCTTGAGCAGCAAATGTTTGACTAGCTGAAATGACTTTCGTTAGTTCTGGATTATACCTTGTTCCCTCTGGAAAAATCACAAGATACATCTGTGAAACATAGAGAAATTTGGTTTGTTTTGTGTGAGCTTTTTTTGTTGTTCTTGTGAACTTACCAGTGCCAACCCTATTAATGCCAAGAGAGTATTTTCTATGGTGGGAAAAATGTTTATTCATTTTACATGTGACCTTCATTTCAAGCAGAGCAACCAAAATGCAAAAATGCAATTAAATCTTAACATGAATTATATTTAAAACACAGTCATACATTCACTGGTAGGTCAATCATTAAGACTCTAACAATGTTTCTAATTACACACTAATATTCATTAATTAAAAATTTGCTCATAAAATTCTCACCATTTAAAGCCTCAATTAATTAAAGAGCTCTTTTCCCCTAAGATTCTGAAAAATGACATTTTTAAATGGTGCAAATTTTAGACATCAGTGTCCCTGAGTATCAATAATAAAAGCATATCTCATCTGAAGCAATATCTAAATTTCCACAATATAAAATGTAGTAAGTATTCACATTTCGAAAGATTCCCATAGTATTCTTATTTTACACAGCTCCCTTAATGCATTTAAATAATTCAATTTATAAGCAGCTTCATAAATTGAAATAATGCACTTATAAAGGAGAAAGCTGAATGTTTACTAAGTAACTAATTAGTCTAAGCTTTTACTTTTATCTGTTTGGGAAAATAAAGACAGAAACAGTGAAACTATACAATGAGAAACTCCTAACTTTAGAGGTAAGTTACCCAAACTACACCAACATGGTTACTTGATAGCCAGAACACACAACTAAGGCATTCGTATCAAATCTTTTCAAATGCAAACAGAATACAGGGAACATAGGGATAGGAGGATAGCAGGAAAGAAAATGATGTTCATTTTATCCAACCTCATCTGATCCCAGGTAATGCTGTCTATCTATATAACTGGTACAGAATCATTCCCTTATCTGAATGATCTATGATTATAAAACTCCTACATAATAAACATATGTGACAGTTCACATTTTTTCATTAGATAAACTCATGATTAATCTCTTCCAAAGTTTCACCTGAAAAACTTGTATTACTGGTTGCTCTACAATTCTGCATTTTCAGCTTCCCTGAAAATATATATACTTTTTATTCATCCATATGAATTGTCTTTAGAACCCACTATCTTTGCCTAACTTAGAAATTAATAGATTTCTATATATCCTAATGAAAGATTAACCACAGCTGCCATGAAAATGTAGAAAAATGGGTAAAATTAAGAAAAAAATTTAAAATTAGTTCCCAAACCCACAAATTCATTATCATGAGGGCATATTTTAAATCAGCTTATGGGGCAACTAGGTGGCTCACTCGGTAGAGCACACGACTCCCCATTGTGGGGTCATAGGTTCCAGCCCCACACTGAGTGTAGAGATTACTTAAAAAAAATATTAAAAAAATAAAATCTTCAACATCAGTAAACTTTGTATTCAAAGCCATGAAAGCAATTACTGATGATTTTTAGCTTTTAGTTCAAGTATTCAAAAATAAAGTGATTCATGATTTGCATGGTTATTAGTAATTCATGTGGTGTTATTTTCCCATCTCTTACACATTTCATTAAAAAGAACACTGATGGTCGACAAGAAAGCAAGAATGAACAATTCTTTCACGGTTCATTCAAGAAGCATTTCTTATATACCTATTATGTGCCAGGTGCTATGTAGGATAATGAAATAAATATGGTCTTTAGAGACAAGTGAGAAAAAAGTACATTAAACAAATTTTACAAATATAATTACACTTCTATGACTGTGAAGAAAAAGAGCAAGATGTTATGAAGGAGAATAACAAGAGGGTAACTGGAGTAGATGATGGGCCTAAGACCTAAAGAATGGTAAAAGAATGAGTGCTTTCACCAACAGATGGGTAACAAGGCAAGGACGCCCACTCTCACCAGTGCTAGTCAGGGCTGTCCTAGAGGTTCAAGCCAGGGCACTTAGGCAAGACAAAGAAACAAAAGGCATCCAGATTAAAAGAAAGAAGGAAAACTGTATAACACAAATGACATAACTGTCCATGTAAGAAATCTAAGAAACATTACTATTTTTTAATGTTGCTAAATAATAAGTCTAGTAGGGTTATAGAACAAAAAAATCAATATACTGAATGTTTAGATTACAACAATCATAAATTTAAAAGCCATCTACAATAGCATCAAAAAACATGAAATTAAGAATTTATTTCGGCAAATGTGGATACCTTTGGCAAAAGATGTGTAAACCTGTACAGTTAAAAACCACAAAATGCTGCTGAGAGACATTAAGGAAGACCTAATTAAAGACTGTGTTTTTGGATCCAAAGATTCAATATTGTTATGATAGCAATTCTTCCCAGATTTATCTATAGATTCAATGCAATCCAAATAAAAAAACCCAGCAAGCTTTTATGCAGAAACTGACAAGCTGATTTTAGAATTTATATGGGAAATGCAAAGGACCTAAAACAGCCGAGTGACTTTGAAAAAGAACAAATATATAAGATTTAACTACACCAGATTTCAAAACTTGTAATAAAGCAAGAGTAATCAAGAGAGTGTGGCATAAGCAAGGGGATATCCAGATAGATCAGTGGAACAGAATAAATGGTTCAGAAACAGACCCACACGTATGCAATCAATTTATTTCCAACAATGGGGAAAAGAATAACCTTCACAGTAAGTGGTGATCGACCTTGACCTTACACCGAATACAAAAGTTAACTCAAAATGGGCCACAAACCAGAACTATAAAACTTCCAAAAGAAAACAAAGGAGAAAATCTTAGTATCATTGAGTTTGGCAAAACCTTTCACAGTAGGACAGAAAAAGCAGAAATTTTAGGAAAGATCAATAAATCGGACATAGGCAAAATTTTTAAAACTTTTGTTCTTTAAGACTCTGTTATGATATGAAAAGGCAAGTCACTGATGCAAAGAAAGATTCATACAGGAGTATTCTGAGAAGTTACATTTTAACAGCCCCAAACTGGCCATTACTCCACAAAGCAGATAATCTTCTATAGGAAATCATATATACAAAGACTGTAACTAGAGAAAGAGTATACAACAGTCTGAACACTTGGCTTCAAACCCCAGACTCCACTTACAGGCCCTGAGAGCTGGGATAAATTCCTTATCCTCTCTGCGCCTGGAGCTTCTTGTCTACAAAAGGGAAGGATGGTTGTACCTCCACCTGATAGAGATACTGTAATGATAAAGGTGATAATTTATGTAGTCTAATTAACATGGTGCTTGGCACAAAATAATACTGCAATTTGCTGTTGTTAAAATTAAAACAGATGTGCTTTCGAAATGTGAGATGACACATCGGGGGCAAAGAAGAGCGACAGGACCTGAGCAGTGGCCAAGAGCCTTCCCCAGAATCAGCTCTGCACGCTGCATTCACAAGGACAGCAGCCTCTAAAGGCTACACGGCTAAAGCAGGTCTCCTTGTTCTCTCTAACGAGAGCTGAGCATGACACAGAGCACAGATGTAGAGTCAAGATTTTAAAGTAAAACTTTTTTCCTCCTTCAGCTGTTCGCACTTGATAACTTCCTCACCACTGCTTTCCCACTGCCGACCAAAAAGGCAGCTCTCTTCTCAGTTCCCATGGAGATGGAGGAGGTGGCAACAGAGGGAAAGGACTAAACATGGAGCATCAGGGCAAGAAAAGAATGACTCCGGGGCAGGGTGCCACCTCTGGACCCACTTCTCAATTAAGGAAAATCCCTGCTCGAGGACAGGGAAGCCCCAAGGATAACAGGAAATAACTGGCAAACAGTCACAAACAAACCAAATTACGTACAAGGTTATTGCTACTGTTCATAGAAATCTTTTATTCTGCTAAATTTTCATTTGGAAGGAACCAGAGATTCTGTTTTCTTTAATGAGGACTGACTTTGCATATAAGATCTCTACTCAAGATGTGAGGTACCATTTTAAGCTTAGATACTTCAGACTCTAGTGGAAATCAGCAAGCTATTTCATATTAAAATTCCATTCAAAAAGAAAAGAGCTATTTAAGAGTTTAAAATACATTCACACTTCAACCAGTTATGGAACTGATGACTTTGTGTTAAAAACAGCCTTTTCTCCATGCTTTGGATAAGTTAATTTACTTTGTGTGTGTGTGTGTGGTTAACAGGTTGTATTTATTATTTTCTATAGTTTCTAAAAAGTAGAATATACTGTAAGACCATGTTAAAAATAATTCTTTACACAGTTTTTGGAAGGTTAGTGCAAACATGATTTACAAGTAAAAGATAAAATTTTCAAACTAAAATCAGTTAATGGTCTTGAATTTATAGAAGCAAGTTAAGGTTAAATTTAAATATCTGAAGCAGTTTCTATATTAAAGCATTTCCAAGAAATAGAAAACTAAGAAATTTAGATAAAGCACCAGCTGTCACCATGTCACCAAGTTAACACTAGTTCCTCATTGGTCCCCATCACATGATGAATGGGAAGGAACTAACAGAAAGAAACAGAACCCTGAAATTACATTTACTTAAGGGTTTCCCCCAAAGGCATCTTGATCAAGTTAATACATTTCTGAGGAGCAGAAATAGGTTATAATAGTTAAGGCTCAAGATCATGCATTCATAATAAAATACAGCTACTGACATTTAAGTGATATTGAATGTATTTAAAGTTTGCCATTTAAATCAACAGTATACATATTTTCTTTCTGAATCCTTTAGGATTTTGTAGGCGCACTGAAATCAATCTTCATACAAAGGGAACAAATACCAGAATCTTGTACTACATGGATACAAGTGGCTGCATTTTTTTTAAATTTTATTTTATTATGTTAATCACCATACATCATTAGTTTTTGATGTAGTGTTCCATGATTCATTGTTTGCTTATAACACCCAGTGCTCCATTCAATACGTGCCCTCCTTAATACCCATCACCAGGCTAACTCATCCGCCCACCCCCACCCCCCTGCCTCTAGAACCCTCAGTTTGTTTCTCAGAGTCCATAGTCTCTCATGGTTCGTCTACCCCTCCGATTTCCCC